TTGATGAGCTGAGTGGAAACAGGAGTGTCTCGTCTGCTGCAGGAGAAACCAACCATGCCCTGCAGGAGTCAGAACAGAAAGGGGAGGGGAGAGAAGGAAAACACAAAAACCTACAACAGAATCATCACAAGAACTTCTCCTCGGAAATCTTGGTTTTTATTCCACCACTATTTTTTTAAAGCTCTTGTTCTCATTGAAGGCCGTTATCACTCCAGGCAATACAACTTTTAAAATAGTGAGACGAAGCCACTTGAGTCTGGTCGGTGATGGGGTCAGTCTTATAAACATTACATGGGGGGTGTTAAAGATTCATTTCATCAACAACTGGTTGGGAAACTCAACCCCGTGACACGAGAATGAATAGTGCTCCTAACTTCTCCTCGTATGAGTGTGTGGGTGTGTGTGTGAGAGGAGGTGGAAGAACATCGGCAGCTGGTTCCTTATCTGACTTCATGTTCTCAAACATCATAAAACCATCATCAGAAAGAGGAACTTGTTCAATAACTGAAAGCTACTGTGTTTAACCACTGTGACCCTGACGTATTAATACAATCATCATCCATTTATTATATATTTACATCTTAAAGTTGGGTGAAGGTGTCGTCTGCACACACACACACACACACACACACACACACACACACACACACACACACACACTTCTTATCTTTGATCCAGATCTTCTGCAGCACTGATGTTTTTTGTTAGCAGGACAGAAAAAAAACTGAAAATCAGTTGTATTAACTTTAAACTTATGATGCATCACTTCAGGATGTTTCTTTACTACCGACTAATACGCAGGGAAAGAAAAAGAAGGATCCAATCAGTGCTACATTTATTCAGAGATTAGCTGCACAGCTGTCGTGTTTCCTGTGTTGGCTTTAAACTAGATGTTCATAGCTGCCTGACATGTGAGCAGCAACGGGAAATAAAAACCATATTCAGTAACACGGACATTCACACCTGTCACACTCCTAAAGAGGAAATAAGTATGTAGCATGGTGTGTGTGTGTGTGTGTGTGTGTGTGTTTAAGTTCTTTGTAACCAGAGATAAATACGTGACTTGATGATAAATAGGAAGTGTTGCTACAGAAACTGGACCCAGCTCATTATCTTTGCAAACAGCTTCACCTTCAGTAACCTGCCCCGCTGCAGTAAAACAAACACTGAGCATCATCCCACAAAGACTCACAAAACTGGGACGTGCATTCAGCCGTTGTATTTTACAACACCTTTGTTGACCCTGAGCTTCAGGACCGGGATCTATTAGATCAGCCGGTGACTTTCTCTTCGACCCAGAAGAATTTAAAACAGTGCTGCTTTATAATGAAAGAGCTTGGAAGGATTGGATCGGTTTTCATATATGTAAGCAGCTTTTGTTAACGCCTTTGTTAACCTTCTGTTATCAGTTGATACGCTTACGTACGTGCTGTGGGTCCATCAGACTGTTGTTGTAGGACAACATGTACTAGACCATATCTTTACTCTGATAAAACACGCAGCCCTCCTGCTCTTCAATAAGAGACTGGTTGTGTCCATTAACAAGCTGTTGGGTGGAAATTATGAGCAGCAGGAGAGAAGCTGTTAAAGCCTCAACGAGACTATAAAACCTTTGAGCAATCAGCTCGCTGCTGCTGAAACCAAATGCACACGCAGATTATAAAGAGCATTCATCACTCGCAAATCACTATGTAGTGGGTTTGGCTTTTTGTAGTCCTGTCTGAATGTTGTGAGATATTTTTATACCCTTTATAGTGGACTCATTGTTTCCCACAATGCATTGTGAAAAGTAGAGTACCAGGGATGGTCACTAACGAGCACTAATGAGAAGAGGAAGGGCAGCAACAGCCCGACCTGTCGTACAAGCAGAGCACAAACTGCAGCAAACAAGTTAATTTTCATATTTTAAAATGGTCTTTTCACCTAAATGTATTAATACTAAGTGTAAAATAAACATTTTGAATTAATTGTGCGCTTTTCCATCGGCCAACGTTGTTGTTGTCCGTCATAAACCTGCAACGCAGATAAAATGCACCAAGCAGCGTCCGAATGTTTATTTTTCTTTCACTGGTGAGAAGTAGGGGTCATTGAATAACTTCGGACAAAGACTTAGTGTATATTTGTAAACCCTATATGGTGGATTCTTTTCCCACAATGCATTGTAATAAGTAGAGTACAACCGATGGTCACTAACCGAGCAATATGTACCATCATGCATTGCGCTCGTGGCAGAGACAAGAGGAGAGAGGGCATCAGGAACAAATGTAAATACTGGATGACGTACATCATGTTTTTGTTATTACGTTATTACCAGCGCAGACAAAATGAACAGGATTCTTTAGTTTTGCCGAGGAGCTCACCTTTCAGTCCTCTAATCACTTTATAGTGAACCAGGGGTCAGACACCGATGGAGAGAGAGCTGGGCACCATAATCAGAGCCGGACAGCCGCTCAACAGTTTCATTATTTTTGAATCACACACAAACCTCCCAACACAAGGACTCAGCTCTCTCTGTCAACTTTAACCAACTGGACTCAGCCGCCCTGGTGCCACCTCCACACTGATTCATCCAGGACACATTGAAGGCCACGTGTGCTGAACACGTCACAGTGAATTTCTTTATTCCACACGTGATCCTGTGTGATGTCGACGTCCCTGCACCTTCACCTGCTCTGAGTTATTTAAACTCACACACTTGTCGTCAAACATGGAAGTAATCTCACTGGAACGATGTTGGTTTAGTTTAACCCTTCCGTCAGTTGTATTCTTTATCTTTACAGTGGATTTCCGGCACATGTGTCACCCACATCCTGTATCTCGTCAGCCCACACAGGCTCCTCCCTCCATCAGACACAGCCGCCTGCACTTTATGACTCCGAAACAATATTTATACATCTCTGCTTCAAACCACTTTACTTCCTTTCTAGAGAATAGAATGTGTTGTTTGTTCTCTGTATATATATATAAAAATAAGCATTGAGCACAAACACCACAACTGTTTCCTCATTCTCAAACCAACAAGAACGTCTGCACAGATCCATTAATCTGACCAGACGCCCTGAAGGCCAATCAGAGGCTGTGACGCACGCCGCGCTTGAGAAACCTCTTTCTGGTCTGAGCTGTTTCACCACAGAGACTCAAACTGTGTCCTACAGACAACTGTCTGCTTCCCCTTTTCAAATTCAATATGTCATGACTGACAGGCGGTGACAGGGCCGGAAAAACTGCTATAGATGTACAAGATACATACATGGAGTTATTGTATCCTGAGCCCAGTGTGTGTGTGTGTGTGTGTGTGTGTGTGTGTGTGTGTGAAATGGGCTCACTACTCTACTTGAATGCAGACGACTCCTTCACCCGATTTTAAGGTTATGGATATATGAACATTATTTTTCCCTCCTCAAGGTCGGGGACACAAATAAACTGATCTGTAGTTGATAGTTATATTAAATAATAAATTTTTTTAAAAACCACCTGGTGACTGTGTGAGAAACTTTGACTTTGCTGCTAAAGTTTTATCTCCTCAGGCCTGAGGCTACAGTCGATCACAACATGAGGTGTTTTATTGGGCCTCTATTTAATTCATCGTAGTGATTAATGAAAATACATTTAACTTCTCTAGATCCTGAATTATTATTATTATGAAGGAAAATATCTCCCGCTGTTAAAAGTTCACATCATTCCACCAAAATGTCATGTTGTTCTTTACCAAGTAAAGATTGAGAGAAGTAGCTGTACTGATTTTCTTCTTCAACATGTTCAGCTTCAGTTTGTGTTGTTCAAGTTCCTTCAACCTTTTTGAAACCAGAAGCTCCAGAAGCAGAAACTGACCTCCACCTGAATTCCTTCCTCAAACCTTCTGCACAAACAAATCCACTGCTCTGAATCAACAGCGGTGCTTTAGCAGTAGGACGAAATTCAAACCTTTGCAACAGCGTTAATGACCGGCCACCCCCCCCATCCTAACCTCCCACTGGGTTAATTGCTAAGCACCAACTGCTCCCTCCTTGTTTGGGCCCTCTGTTTCGGCTAAATGGCCCTTTCACACATTGTCGTTAGTGTACCATCATCTTGACTAATTATCCCCTCGTTATGCATTCAGCCCAAACCCATGTTTCAAGCATTAGCGGGCTTGCATAACAATCCCTTGTGTCAGCGTCCATTCCACCCCTTCTCCCCCTCCTCCTGCCTCTCCTTCTCACAATAGAAGAGCGAACATGAAGACGAGGGCCCGGCTCCAACACATGGCCACATACCATCGCTCACCATCATCAACACTCTTTGACGCATCTGTGAATGAGCGGCGGAGGACAAAGGAGATCAACTCGGCAGAGCCAAGGGAGAGAGTGACCACCATGACCTCATGGGTCAGCTGGGGAGCCAGGAATGAAAAGACTCCAAGCGACCCCCGCCCAACACTCGCACACATGCACACGCACACCCAGCAAGCTCTTGGACAACTGAAGCCGCCATGGGAATATGAGAGCGTGGAAGCGGAGGAATCAGCAATCGTTTCAGACGCAGGAGCTGAAAGAAGCCGGTTGTGTTTGGAATTCTGGGTCATGCCTTTCTCCGCACATTCCTCCATGTTCTCCCAACAATAAACTGTCAGAGTCCGCACAACGGCCTCCATTCTGGATACCTCGCACCTCAAACCATCCGAAACCACACATTAACCTCCAAAACTTGGGTGATAACATTATTAAATGGAGGAAAATTTATGGGCCTAATAAATTTAGCAGCGCCACATGGAAAAGGTCACATCGAGACTGAGGGAATAAGAAAAAGATTGTGTGTACACTCGAGGTCTGGGTGCTAATTTAAGTGTGGGAGCTACAATTCCCACAGATAGTTGTGACTAAATAGATTCCCGCGTAAGCTCCGCTCAGAATAAAGCTTCATTATTTTAAAATTTAGGGAACCGAAGTTTAGGTGGAAAAAACAAACAGTCAGAATCATCTGATGTAGATATCAAACGTACAAAATGCTGCGTTGCACAATTAAACTCGAAACAGGGCATTTATTCAGCTGTCAAAATAAAAGTCTCGCATGCAGTAAAAACTGAAAAATGCTTCATTCTGTACATAAACCAAACGTGTTAAAATAAATAAATAACTTAAACAAGGTATGAACAAATGAAAAGAAAAAGTCCAGCTGGGAAAAGCCACAGACTGCAGCTGAATGTTCGTCAACTTTGGTCTCTTCTCACTTTGGGACTGCGTGCTCGGTTTTCTTTGGCAGATTTAGTCTGACAGTCACTGGTGCTTTAAAGTCATTGGGTCTGTTTTCTGTGACGTTCAGGCGATCGTCTCACAGTTTGCTCTCCTCCTCCTCCAGCGGTCGGTTCAGCCCGGGGATGAATTTAAGGAGGCGCCTGCGAAAGCTTTTCTGTTTGGGCTTCCTCTGCAGCGAGTTGAACCCTCCCTGCTTCTCGCCCGACGACGTGGATCCTCTCATGTAGCTGCGTGTGCTGGCGCTGCGGGTCAGCTGTGTTTTGGCCGTCGTGAAGAACTCGCTGGCCGGTCGGAGACGCTGCAGCCTCTGCGGTAGCTGCAGCTCATTCTTTTTGCCGGCACTTCCGTTGTCTGAGTCCACGCTGCCGTCCACCTGGTACAGGCAGGTCTGGTACAGAGGGTCGTCCTCTGTGGCCGTGCTGAGAAAGCTGGCGCTGCTGCTGGTGCTGCCAGTGCCGCGCAGGGCTCTCTGAGCGGCGGGGCTGGGAGCGCCGAGGCTGCCGTACATGCCTGCTGACTCCAGGGACTCGTACACTGCAGCATCACTCATTACTATACCTGCAGGAAAGAAGGGACGAGTTAGGACAGTGTACTAATACAAATGGAACTCTTAGAAATAGAAATAGGTGAGACCGATCTGTCTCTGAAAGGCTCAGATGATTTTTATCAGCCAATAATTTCATCTGTCAGGCTCCATTCAGAACTGACGACCACATTTCAAATCTTAAAGCACTTTGCATGTCTTTATTTGTCAATTATCATTATTATTGAAAAATGCTGATGTGTTTTAATATTTCCATATTTCCAAGTACTGACACAGAGAGGTTTATTATCACCCACCGTGAACCAGCCTCTGCTCTTGCACCATCAGCGACCGATATTCATCCCATTTCTCATGAAGCGTTTGCTGAAAAAGGAAAAACAGATGCAGGTTTAACGACCGCGACATGAAAACCACAACATACAGAGTCAACACATGATTCACAGGAACTGGGACTTAATCCCTGAAGTTAAGCGAAAAAATGCTAATCGAATTTCTACGTCAGTCGGAATATTTCCAAAAATCACAGCAGTATGTGTGAAACTCTGTCTGAGCGTCATGGTTATCCACATGGTCTTTTATCAGATGGTGGTTTTATTTTGTTTCTATCCACTGAGTCCTCGACTGCATCGCATTAAGTGACAACATCACTTTCCAACATCGGCATCTAATGCGTGACCGAAGCAGCAGCAGCAGGTTAATCTTTAAAATGTTGGATTAGTGCCTCAGAGAGCGGCTGTGGCGCAGCGGATTAGAGCCGGACAGCTGCTGTAATCTTGGGGGGAAAGCTCGCTCACTTGAGCCACTTCACGGGCAGTTTTGTTAACGGCCACGAGTTAAGAATGTCTGCAGCGAGCTGAGAGCCTGCCCGAGAAAACTGCTGACGCAACAGGTGGCGTTGCTGGGGAGACAGGTGTGGGAGGAGGGGGAGGTGGTGTCTATATCAGGCCTGTTAACAGAACTGTGTGTGTGTGTGTTTGCTGACCAACAGAGAAAAAACGGCTGCAGCAACAGTATAAGACACAAACCCACCTTCAGATACTGCAGCCGCGCTTCCAGCTCCGCTTTCCGGATGGAGTCGCTGTAAACCGTCTCCAGCCTTTAAGTGAGAAAGCAGAAGAAGAACAAGGCTCGTGAGTGGAGGAGGAAACGTTAATAAAAACTACAAGAGCAGAGAACTAAAAAAAAA